CCTGTTTAGCCACTTTTTCCACTCCCAGGCAGCACAGAGCCTGCAACTGCAAGAACGGACACTTCAACCCAGCCCACGCTGGACTTGGCACTCTAGAAAAGCATGATTCAGACGTACCTGTATGGCTCGCTTTGGGCACAAGATAAGTTTATGAGCTTCAGCCCAGCACTGCCTCTGCCCAGGGTCCCTTTGAAGCAGCTTGGACACCTTTGCTTCGTAGTGTTCCAGGTTTCAGGAAAGATTATTAACGTTTATACCAGTTCCAACGCTCTGCCCAACCCAGTAAGCTTTCCCTGAATATAAAGAGCTCAGTTCAGAAAGCAGAATTTTTTTACAGCTAATTAGCTCTCTGGACCTGCGCAGCCTCTTGGGTGTGCGCACACCTCTCTCCCAGCACCTTCCCTTGTTCCCACACTGCCCCAGCAAGCTCAGCCCCCACCTGCAGACTGGAGTCTGACATACCCCAGGTACCCCACCTCTGGCTGGCAAACCCTCCTGCATCAGCAGCGTGCCTGCTATGAGAAGCACAATCTTTCTTTAAAACCTCCCATCCACACACCTCCCTGTTTGCCCAGACTTCATTAGCACAGGAGATTCAGGCTTGCACATTAGAAACTTTACTCCAGTAAAGCAATGGCACGGTTACAATCCAGCATGTGGAAATCCTAGAGGCTGTTTGCTGTTATTTACTTAAGTGCATTTTAATTATGCAGAAGATGATAAAGGCTGCACAGCCTTTATTAGGGCTTCTCTCTTCTTTTGACAATGACATACACACTCACTGCAGACTTGAGATAGTTTACAAACAGATAACCACAAAGTCAAAACTCAAAATCCAGCAGGACAGAGTTAAACAACAATCAAAAACCCCAGCTGCAGAGACAAAATGAAAATAAAGCACCAAGAACACTTTAGTTTGAGAGACTATTCTTTTCAGGTGTATCAGTGTAAAGACTTGAAGCTCTATAATTTCAGTCCTTAAGTACACAAAAAAAGGCTTCCTGAAATAAATCTAAGATTACAACTAACAGCTGACAGACAGCCACCACTAATTATTTAATTAATCATGTATTGAATCTGCGTGGAGGCAGCTAAAAGATCTGCTTCCAATGTAAACATTTTAGTATTGACGTACAAAACAGTAAGTGGTAATTACAAAAGACACTCCTTCTCCAAAATGTGAATGAACTACTTCAACAGCACCTATATATATATATATTTATATATGTGTGTGTATATATACATATACACACACACACACTTCAAAGTCTAGTACACTGTGAAGATCTTTTGCAATCAACTTTACCATCACTCATTTGTTTCCATGGTGGATGTCTAATATGAATGAATGTCAGACAAGGTTTAACTAATTTTAGGGTACCATTACTAAGTGTGTGTATATATATATAAAAGTTATATATATACACACATGTACACACACAAGCAGGCAAAAAACTTCCTTGTTAACCTTCAGAAAAATTAATAAAAAGTAAACAAACTGCAGTGTAGGAGGGGCTGGAGGTTAATTTACTGATATTGTTATAAGCAAGAAAAAAAAATCAAATGCTTCAAATTAATGTCTTGCAACTATGTTATTTGTGGGTGGCTAGAAGCACTTTTAAAAAACAATACCACCATGGGAAGGACTTAAATAAGGCAAGAACATCACAAACCAAACCGACAGAAATACTAAGCTTTTATTACAAAGAAAAATTATTCCACAGAAGAGGTTGGCTTGCTTCCATGCATGCTGTCAGTCATATCCACCTGCTGAGTGTGGAGAAGTGCTTCTGCTAGATTCATTAATTCCCCAAGACACCATTAGGCTTTGTTCTTGGCTACAGGTGCGTAGGCATTTTGATTCAACTGAACTGCTTGCTAGAATTTTGTTGTCAGCATTGAATGGGCCAAAATAATGAATCTGACTGTTGGACAAGCTAAACACCACAAGGGAAGAAAAAAAATATTTAAAAAAAAAAAATCAAACACTGGACACAGTTATCACTAACAGCTGTCAAATGGCTTGCTTTACATCCACATTGTAAATAATTTCACAGGCAGGGAAATGAATATGCTTGAGTCTTATCTTCACTTGGGAAGCGTGAAGAATGTTTGCTGAATCCTTTTATTGGTATGTGCAAGCACACGGTCACGAAGCCTGAAAGCCAGCAGAACTAGACTGAATTCCTATTATCTATTGTTGTTTGGATTTTGAACAAAATTGATGGAGTAGGAACCAGTTGATGAATCCTGTTTTATCTGGAAATTTTCTGTTGACAGGCCAAAGGGGCGGAGAACCAAATTCCCAAGATCCTTCAGTTTGCCTACAATGAAAAGGAGAGATATAACATGTGAAGTTTTAAGCAGAGGGAAAAATCCCATTGAATTATGCCCACCTACACAGTCCAGTTCTACTAATTTATCTACTCATTTAAGGTAAATACTGTGGAAATCTCTGCAGTTCATTGAATATTTCAGTTATTACATGAATGTAAAACATCCCAATTGTGACGTAGTTACTGTCAGCTTTGGGTTTGAAACAATCACCACGCTGGTTCTGAATGGTTTGGCAGGCAGCCCTGGTGAAGAGCCAGTGGCCGCAGACAGTCATGGCCATGTGGTTATAGCTATCCCGAAGCACCTTGCTGCCTCGCTTACAGGCTCTTCAGGCACAAGAGTTTAACAGCTCACAGCAAAGCACTGGTCTCCCTGTACTTAAGCTTCTATATAACTCTGATAGCTGCCGACATTCAATTTTCTAACATAAAGTTTTCAGTTCTAGTAATTTTTGATGCAGCTACAGCTCAATCAACAAACTCGCCAGTTTCCTAGACTACCGAAAGAAACAACGAAAGCCAAACTGCTCACTTGTAATCATTAAAAATGTTTATACTGATATAAACAAAAATAAAACAAATTCATTCTTGCAACTATGTTTGCACCTGCCAACTAAGCAGTTCCATCTGAAACATACAAATTCACAGCCATTTTGCTGCAAAGAAACTCAGCCTGATGTCTTGTGACATGACATCATGAACTCACTTTCAAAACTACAGTTCTCCAGGAGTAATTTACCACTTGCTAAGAGCTCTAAGCAACCATTACTTAAGGATGCTTGTTAAATATACACAGGGTATGACAGTTAATAAAATCTAAGGGTTTCTATCAATATATATATACCATACGTATTTTCTGACTCTAGAAGATGAATCTTGCTACCACCTATAAAAGGGGAAGGGCAACAAAAGGACATCCTTTTAAAAAAATCTTATCTATCTAGAGATGAGGGAGTAGATAAAATGCATAAAATTGAACAAGAAGCAGAGGTAACAACTTCAACATTAGCTAAGCACAAGCTGAGCCCCTGGCATGCCAAGACAAAGGAAGAAGATGGTCAGTTTTCCAAGAAAAACATTATTTTCCTCCTGGCTTCAATGCAGAATTGTAGACTGATTTCCTAAAGAAAACAGAAGAAGTTTTGACAAGTTGAAGCCTACCCCAGGTTTGCATCCACAGGCCACACACCACCTTTAAAAAAGCATTCTACCTTTACTAGATCTTCAAGGCAATGGATTTTGGTTTGCTGGGAGTTTTGTACATGCACACAAGTGGGGGAAATGTGACAATAACAAAAGCTGGCACCCAAGAAATCGAGTTAAGCAACTGAAGTAGTCACAATCATTTAACTAAAATGCAGAAACGCCACACCTATTCCTACTTGCATGTCTGTGCTTTCTGCAAGCCCTCTTAAGTCATGAGAAACATCTCTGTTATTCTAGTCATCTTCACCTTTATCTCCATTTCTAAACTAACATATTAGAATCTAACAGCAAAGTGATATGAACTCTTATCATTTAGTTTCTTTGCTTTTCCTAAGTTCTTTTGTTTGTTTGAAAACGCTGTTTCTGCCCAGCAGTGCCATCATCACTGCTGTTATGAACTCCATTTCCTCATGGTGATGCACCAGACAGAATGCAGTTCAGGCTTTGTTGCTAAGCCACAGAAGCAGTAACTTCACAGCAGTGATAAGGAAGTACAGAAACACAGGGAGCAAAGCTGTATGTAAGTACTTCACTGGAAGAGACAAGCAGTATTTGTTGTACGAGTGGAGTACAAACAGATCAAGAGATTTGCCTTGCATGACACTGCAGGCCTGTGACCATACTCAAAACAGAAATCGTATCCAAGTCTGAACTTACCCTGTGGAAATACGCCCCTTATCTCTTACCATCTGGCAACAGTTCAAGCCAAGTTGGACACAATTACCATAAACCAAAATCAGCTATTTTTTTCAATCACATTTCCAAAATTGAATTGGGGCCAGGGGGAGCTTTTTGAACACATTCACAGAAAATACAAAAAGAAACAATAGCTGGGGAAAAATCTAAAAAATTTACTCTAAGGAACAACTAAGTCCTGCATAAAGAAACTAACAGTTAGCATTCCTATGGTACTCCTAAACATGCCAAAGTAATTAAGATTTTGCATCAAAGCGCTGGTTCACAACTGGGTATCTTTCAGAGATTTGTGTCATTATTTTAAAGCAAGACTGGTCCTTAAGAGTCAACATGGAAATTCTGTGGCCTTACACAGGAAAAAAAAAAAGACAACCTTAGCCTACAAAAGCAGCTAGTTGTTGAGACAGAATTTTTCTTCAATGTGATTTTTTTTTTCCTGTGTGGATTATCAGATGAGGTGGTTGAGTGATCTGGCCAAAGTCATTCCAGAGAGTGGCTCAGCTAGAATTAGCTTCTTTGTACTGGTCATGGTTTTATTTTTTTTAAGCTGCACCCTGTTTAAGGTAAGTTAACTATTAAGTTCATAATTTTAGACAACATCCTAAAAGTAATTTGGTTATAAAAGCATAAAGTTGTTCATAGCATCTCTATGACTGGGATGAATAGTTGCTATTGTACTTCTAGACAAACATTCGGTCATTGCTTAGCTTCAGGTTTGGCGTGAGAAGTGTCTTTGTCTAGTGGTGGAAGAATCCTGGCATGGTCTGGCATTGCTAGACTCAGTTGTAAACAGTTCACAAGTGATCCCGGCACTGCAGCTGGCTCAGGAGCAGGCAGACGAGTTTGCCTGTTTCAGGAAACCGTGAAAGGTCTTTTCTGATTGGAGTGAGTTCGATGGCTCTTTTCCGGTCATACCAGAGCCAATAAACACAGAACATCTGCCTTGGTATTCTTGCTTGTAGCTAGGCCAGCTCTTTAGGAGAAGCTAAAGACTATATATTTAATACTTTAGTCTTCATCTCACTGTGATTGAATAATTAAAACAATACAGTCATAGGTCACCTTCCTGTTCTATCAACTTAAATCCACATCCAGCAATGCCTTTTGGTGCAGCCACATTTAATAAATTGTTAATGAAGCAGAAGAAAGCCTTGTTTTTTCCCAGAACTCGAGCCCAAAGCAGTGCTCTGGCTGTCTTGGCACACATAAACCCATCATTGTAGGAAAGCACCATTTCCTCCTCCCCCACTCTTCTTTCATCCCCAAATTAAGATCCGTAGTTAAGTCCAACCTTCCCCTCCCCCCAAAGAAAAGCTCTCTTAAAACAGAGACTGTGCTTGAAGGAAGGAAAAAGGCATGTGGAGCTGTGACTCAGCTGCAAAGAGTTCTCAGCAGTCAAACACTCATTTGTCCCCGAGCAGGGTCACATTCTCCTCTCTGAGCCCATATTTTCATAGATCTTGTTCTTTATATTTTAGAGAGCCTATACCTACTTCACCTGGAACTTCAGCATGTTAAGTTCTTCAACAAAGCAATATTCAGAGGTTAACAAGAAAATTAACTGGTAATTTAGGGCTCAGAAGTCACTCAGATTCATTACTCACCTAAACTGCACTGTAGCATCTTGTTGCAAAAGGCAGACACACAAAGAGATTTCTCATGATTTACATTAAGATGTAACAGCCAAAATTAATTGCTATTCAGTCCTTCTGGCAATAATTCTAGTGTAGTTGCTAGTGATAACGTGGTGTTTGGAAGCTGGAAAGCTAGATATTGTTTGTGTTAGGAATTTTTATTGGATAAAAGACAAATTTCCTGATGAGGCCTCACCTTTGTATAACTTTCTGTATTACCAACAATATTTCTTAAGCAATTAAAAGAGCAAGGGCAAATCCTTTTCCCTTCCCTAAATGGTTAAGTGAGGGCTGAACTAAAAGTAATTGTATATTAGCTCTGGGTTGAACTATTTAAAGTGACCTCCCTATATACAGTATTGGGGTTAAGAAACTTAGTTGCAAATACAACATACCCTTCAGTATCAAAAACAAGAAACTAATTCTTTAGGCACTAAGCCTAATAAATGTCCTTGCTGATCTCAGTGCCTGGAAAAATCTCTTCCTGGCTGACAGGCACAGGTGATATGCTCTGATGGACCTTCCCATTAATCACACTGACAATCAAGTACATTTCACTATTTTCTGGAATGCACTCATTTATAACTTCAGCTGAAAGTCCCAGAAGTTTTTAATTAGATTTGAAGAACTCTGTGTGTATAAGATGGGTTACAGATTGGCACATGTCCCATCCCATTTTTTAATAGCCAGTATACTTGGCCCCCCTGTAGCCCTGCAGAAAACTACTGTTGTCACAGTCCCCAAGCTGCTAAACCTTGCTGAAACTATCCCAAACTTCCTCTCTTCTCACACCCTCTCCCCAAAGGAGCTGGTCCTAGTTATCAGAATTACAGTGTCTCTAAACAAGACTAGCTTGTTGCACTGTAGCTGAAAAATCTTTGGTTTTAAATTCAGGAGAGAAATAACAAAGCACACAGAACACGGTCAGTGTATGTTCCCATCCTGGGCAGTTACTGCAGCAGATGAGGCTCATGTTATGAAAGCGTAAAGGGACAGAGCCACGTGGATTTAAAAGCTACTTTCACAGTGTCCTGTAGGTTAAGCTTTCATTCATGTGAAACTCGGAGGTTAGTTTGTACTGAGCAAATTTCAGTGTCAAGTGCCAGCACTAACCTTCAAAGGCTGAGTGGAAAATACAAGTATGTCAGCTCTGGAAAAAGTTAGACCCTTGCAGAACACAAAGCAGAAATGAACTTGGTCTGGCAACAAAACATTCTTTTTTTAGTGACATCAACTTCATCAATCACATGCACTACCACTTGCATGCAAGGATTCATAGTTAGGTAGTCTGGAAGAAAAACCCAGCCAAGAATGTGTATTCTGACTTGTTTACACACAATCACTTCAGAAGTGGTTTCAGCTTCTGACAAAGGAGGTGGTAATGAGCTGTAGCACTGGAAGCAGGAAATGCACTGGGGGAGGGAGGAAGATGCACTCCATTTATTTTGGTTTGTTTGTACACAGCTCCAGTTTTCATGACAGTGTTAGCTGGGTATACCAGGACTTAGTTTTATTTGAAATAATAAAAGCCTAGAAAAACAACATCGCTGGCTGATTCGTTGACTAAAATAGGAATTAAATTCAATATCCAAACTTCAAAGGAGCCAAAGCATGAAGTGTAACATTATTTCTAAAGATTTTGTTAGTTATTAACTTCAGTTTAGTGTCAGTGCTCCTGGACTAGGCTTAGCCTGGAGCTATCAAGATGCATCTGACTTGCTCTTCTGGAAGCCAAAAATCTGCGGTACAACTCAGGCACCTGAGCTGACTGCTCTGTGAGAAGGCAAAAGAATGAATCCTTGCACACCTCACCCCTGGCACTGTTTAACCAGTATTCAGATAATCTCCTAACAGATTACCACAAGTGACTGTCTATTCTGGCACAGTACTCAGTTGGTAAACGGCATTAACAAAGTTATTGAAAAAGAAAAGTTGAAACAGCTTAAAACAAATGCATTGTACAAAAAAACCAATCTAAACAAATCTCTTAACCACCACACTACATCAGTTTTGCCTTCTTTCACTCTATAATCCCACTTCTTCAGTTGTAAGGGTTTTCCCTTGACCTCACACAGAGCAGCAGCATTTTATAACCCTGGGGAAGTACTTCCTTCCCAGGCCTCCATCACTGACATCACTGCCAAGGTAGAGGGAATTTTATAATACTTAAAAAATTAGTCTGGTTACCGCCCATATTCCTAACTTAATTTCAAGTGCTCTGTTAAGAGAATGTATCATAGAAAAAGTCCTCAATTTGTGTTACACTAGTGATCACAAGCAGTGCTAAGATAAAATATCACCTGCCCAAGTGACACCATATAATTTTAACAATACATATGACAATTTATATGAATCCTCTTGCACACAAAGGTTGCAGATGAACACGGGGTTACAGGCTGTACTACCTCACTGTTAGTCTGGTTTCCTAGCTGTTTACAACAGTAAACCTCAATGTATCTCCTTGCATGTTAACATCGTTGAAAAGAGATTCCTTTCTCCAGAATCCCAATATGAACAGTTCCCAACAGACCAGTTCACTTCCAAAGTCCTAATTGCCACTGGATTAACACTTTTTAAAAAGATCACGTCTAGTCTGAAATCTAGGCAAAAATTAGTGGTATAGAAGTAGGTTTGTAATGACATTTATTCTTTCAGTATAGTCCCCTGTAATTAGTGAGGCCCTTTAGACACCGGTAACAATGATACAGAGAGTTCAAAAAAGATCTGGAATTGTTTTCATATTACTTTGTGTTGAAACCCATCCCATGTCCTACAGATGGGCATGATCCTTCTGGAGATTTTCTCCATTTGACATTTATTTATAGCACAGTTAGCCTTGTTTCAAGCACAATGGTAGAAACAGAATCTGATGATTCTCATCTGGTAAAGCTCTAGAAAGCCTCACTGCAACTTTCCTAGGTCAAAACAGGTACAAAGCAAGAACAAATCAGAATTCCTCCACAGAAAGAAAAATAAAAAATTAGCTCCAGCCTAAGCCCTTGAAAATCTCATCTTCCCAAATATTTTAAGAATTGGTCTTACAGTATGCAAGACAGACTGAGTTTAACCTGATTCTCTGCAGAATAGCAAAATACAGTCTTCTTCCTTCTCATCCTCAACTCTCAAAGCCTACTCATCTTAAAATAGCATTTCATCTACTACTTGACACACCTAGAATAAGTAAATAGATAACTACTGAATGCTATTTCTGAAACAGGTAATATTACACATGAAAACCAATCTTGCTTGGTGAGTAGTTATCCTTTTGAAATAAATCAGTTAAGGTATTATCCAAGCAATACCATACAGCACGATGATGGGGGCACATACATTCAGATGAGTTATATTAATGAAATTCTCTTTTCTACAAATAAGTAGAGTCAATAGTATCCTTTGGTATAGAATGGTAAAATGTCAAGAGACAATGAGCTACGCAGTTAGGAAATCTAATTCTGCTCCTAGCAAGGCCAAATGCCTGTTTGTAACGCTAGGTAGGTCTAATTCAGCCTCCCCACCAACAGAACTGAAACACTGTATAAATCAAGGGAAACAGGAAGACCTGGAGGTCTGTAGGTTGGAAGTGCTACAAAAAGAACCAAATTTATTTCTTCAGACACAAGATCAAACATGGTCAGTTATTACAGCTGGTTGAATTCTTTTACGTAAAGCTTTAGTGAAAACCCTGTTTCATCCCTTTCATGGGAATGTTTCCTTTCAACATTTACTGGCAGAGAGAAAGGGCAAAGCAGTTGGTCTGTTTCAAACCATTTTCCTCTGCTTTTATATACATCGATATTACATTGTTTTAGAAGGTCTTTGTTTTAGAAGGTCTTGAGTATTTCTTTCTTTAAATTTGACTAATAGCCTTTTCTGTATGGGAGAATTATTTGGCTAGAACTTTGTAGGTGAAACCAAGATACAGACAACTAGGAAGAAACTGGGAGTTTAGTTTAATACAGAACAATACTTCTCTTTATCTTCTTTAAATTTTACACAAGAGATTCTACTAATGCATTTTTATTTTTCTAGTAGACTATAAAGATTATTGTGCAAGTTATATGTACACGCTACTTACCTAACATTTCTTTCTTTAATTTTTCATTCCGCTCTTCAATTTGTCTAGGCAATCGCTGTGGAGAGAGAAAAATTGGAATCAGACCCATGCTTTCAATACTACTGTAGGTTAAGCTTATGGAATTTTCATACACATGCCCAGGATACACTGTTTATGGTTTAAAAGGAATCCTTATGTCAAACCACACTTTCATCTTATTTTGGAAACCTGTAATTCATCCTATGACATCAATTCACATAAACAGTAAGTCGTAACTTGTAAGTGCAGGTTTCATACCAGCATACATTTTTACTGCTGAAAAACATATCCCATCTGTTTGCTTGGAATTTTAACAGAAAAGCTTATGAAATTTAAGACACTTACAGTTAAAGTATATTTTAGCCCTATTTCCTCTGCTGCATGCATTAAATTTGGTAAGAGAGGCTAGAGGAACTAAGCAAGCACAGCATTTGACTTCTGAACATAAACACCGGTGTAACAAGAAAAAACATTCATAAAGTCAGTTCTCAGTGGCATCATACTTCAGGGAAATCCGCACTGTGAAAACACAAAGATGTTCTAAATACAATATTTTATCAGAAGGTCACCGAATTAACTGCCCATGAACTTCAGGTCATAGTTTAATGAGCAGCACCTTACTACACAATATCTGGCATAGTTCTAAGGAGCACAGGTTATTACAAATAAGGGCCTTGATTCATGATGGGGAGGGAACTCCAACAGTTCATCCTGAGCAACGTACTAGTCCAAGTAACAGTTCACTAACGTGCTTTTTCCCTTCTCAGAACTGGCACCAGTGTTAAAATCTGTTGCACCATCACAGACAAACTTATCACACTTCTAAGAAGCATTACGTAACTGCATGGTCTGTGTGTTCCTAATGATTTGAGATTCCCATTTATGCCTAGAACAGCTGTGACTCATCTTCCATCCTTACACAGTACTGGTGTTTTGCTATATGATTGTAATGATAATTTTTAATTGGAACTTTATATTCACTACAACTAAGTTTACCATTGCATAATTTAAATTTAGCATTTTCTGTACATCAGTTAAATAAATATTAAAACAAAATATATTATGAATGACAGTCACTTTTAAAAAATATTTTTCATTTTTTTTCAGAAGGACTATTTCAAGATTTTACACTATGCTTATTAGTGTATAATTCTGGCAGTTCAGCATGCAATTATATACATAACTATGTTGTCTCTTCTTGTGGAGGTCTCAGCAAATAAGGCAGATCTGCTGTAATGGTGCTATCAGGAAATTAATTACAGTTGCAGACTAAGGTAACAGGTGTGGAATTCACTCCTGATACACTTCCCTTGTGATAACTGGCTTCTCAACACAGTTAAAGAATTCATTTCCTAATCTTGTTCCTTCCTGTCATTTACAGCTCCAGTCATCATGGATAGGTTTGTCATCCTGATATCATTGCCACAGTGAAATAAGATGTTCACCTCAAGAAAAAGCCCATTGACAGGGCTGCCTGGCTATTCCTCCCCTCTTCAGTGCAGGATTCACGGGTGAACACAGGCAAATACAGTTCACTTTCTATAGTCATAGGGAAGAGAGGTGGTATACCCCAGAAAAACGAGTACTAAGGAATACAATGCAGATATACACTGATGGCTAAGCTTGAAACCAGCCCAGGCCCAGCATCACCACCATGGAGCCAGGTCTAATTAGCCCAGTCAGACCTCATCTGACTCCTGCTGACCCAGAGGGGCTTATTAAGTTGTGTGCAGATCTGGACCTAAGCTGCCTGCATGAAAACATGTGTGGATATCCCCAGGCTCTAAATTAAGTTTGCATTGTGGCTGTGAGATTTGCTGAATCGTGGATGAGTTTGGCACATATAGCATGTGTCTCTCACATTTGGACATCAGGCTTTAGCAGGAAATGGAGACACAAATCCTTGATCTGAAACACATACTCCATGTTTTGTCTGTCTGAATACTACTATTCCAAAGACTCAGCATTTCTCACTCCTGAAATGTATTTGCAAGGTTAGTTATCTATAGAAAGGTGTCCCAAAGGACAGCTATTTATCTGGTGTCTATCATGCTTATCTCAAAGTACAGCTTTGTTTGGTAAATAAGTTTATCTGGCCTGCCAATCCCTGAAAAACTGTGTTGAAGCTAAAATTCAAGGAACAATTTTACTCACGTGCTAAAAATAAAACTTAAAGATTGATACCATATAATTGAATGCTTTCTGGGAAAGCATCAACAGGGATTATTTGACCACAAAACATTATAATTTCAAACTGGTCAATTTGGCATTGAAGATATCAAAAGTAACTAAAGTGTGTGACACTAGGATTTAATTCAAAACACTAGCGCTGTACTCCTGAAATATAAACACTGCTGAAATTTTAGAGCAGCTACCAAATCAGGAATCAAAGCAAAAAACTAGAGGCAGTCAACATGGCTTCACCAA